AATAGAAAGGCAACTTCCCCACACAAAGGCTGATCTAAAATGAGTTTTAAAGGTAAGATGATAAGGGAATGAACCTTAGAGATGCCATACTCTTTAACACATAATCTAAGACCTAAAACACTACCCAACTAAGGAAACAACCTCTTCGGTCTCGTTCCTTCCACCGATGCTCAAGTCCCTTCTTCACGGACGGATATGAACTTGTTGTAGCTTTGATTCTTAGCCTTGATGCACAATATGATGATGATGTTTTGTCACCCTTTTGTCATTATCAAAACCTAAAAAGAGAATGGGCAAAGGACATTGCAAATCTATATATTCATGATAGCAACATTGTCCAACAATTCCCCCCTTTTTGATAATGACAAACCCATTAGGAGATATGCATCATACAAGGCTAGGTCCCCCTCATGTATTGCATCATAAATCAAACAAAGACATACAAATCTATACTATCTTCCCCGTTAAGATATGCACAAATACAATTCCCCCCTGAATATATGCATATCTACACCATCTTCCCCCTTTTGACATTATCAAAAAAGAGATGGGCAAAAAGATATATGCTCATGCAAATAGATATCAAACAAACAAATAATATCACACTGTCCAACTAAAATATAAATCAACATTAGTTGGTATTAATAAAGTGAATCAACTTCCCCCTTAATTGATGCTTCACCCAATTATGTGCTTGGCACATCTACTTCAACTCAAGTCGAAGTGTTCAAGCACACCTTCCTTAATGAATCTACGAAGAAAATCTTGGTACCCAATGCCTTTTGGGTCCAGGGGTGTTATGGCAAAATATTTTGGGTACCAAAGTGTTACTTTGCAGGAACCCCGTTCATGAAATCAGGGGGAACCATGCCTACAGCGCTGTCTAGGAGACCCAACAGCGCTGTTGAAGGAAACACCGTCAACCAGCTTGAGCCAACAGCGCTATACAACAAGCAGACAGCGCTGTCCCAGGGAGTCCCTTAATCCTCACTTTCCAGAAACTTTTTGAACATCGATGTTTTTTTAAAACATCGCTGTCTACCCAAATCACCTTGTTTTTCAACTAAAACCAGAAACTTTTCAAACAGCAACGTCCCACTTTCAACATCGATGTCCATTTTTACAAATTTTTTCTCCAATCATAAAACAGCGATGTAGAGAAACCCAACAGCGCTGTTCTAATGGGTTCAAACCCTTACACAATTCCAGAAACTTTTGGAACATCGCTGTAGGGTACCCAACATCGCTGTCCAATTGACTCCTGTTTTTTTTCTAAACTTGACGCAGAACAGCGCTGTACAAGGGCACAACAGCGCTGTCCTAGAACTTCTATCTCTTTTCCTTTAATTATCATGTCTTTTATTGCTTCTGTTGTACTCCGCTATTTCCCAATTTTAATAAATAAAATTATATTTTATCTTTTTGTTAATGTCAAAAGGGGGAAGAAAAGGGCTATGCATACACTAAGGGGGAACGCCTCTAACAAGACCGTTTGATTTTAAACCCTACTACTTGTTTTATAAGAACAAATTAAGGGGGGAACTTTTTCACAACTTTTTTAAAATCAAATATCCCCTAGTATGCATATCCCCGTCTTGTTTGCCATTATCAAAAAGGGGGAAATTGTGGGAACACGGGTTTACGCCTACGTCGTACTAAACCGTGTTCGTTTTATGACGGGTTTTGATAATGCCAAACCGCCGACAATAACAAGGTTAAAATTAGCAAAACCAAGGCGAAGGAACATGGCATGATGATTTGAGAACCAAGAACGAAGACTTAGAATTGTATTGAGTCGGTCTTAATGTGATCAAAACCGGCACAAACTTTCAAACCTTGGCTCTCTAGGCTCTTTTCATCAAAATGTTTTTCTCATATTCAAAAATGTGTTTCTTAAGTTTTAAACATGCCTAAAAACACTTGGAGTTTGCCTAAACCAAAAACAAAGTCATCCGGCGTTCGGCTTTCGGCTTTCGGCATTGGTTTTTGGCATCCGAACCAACCAAGTGGTTTTCAACTTTTTATGATTGGTTTTTATTTCTGGGCATATTTAAACAAGTCTCCAAGAAAAACGCTTCAAAAACCACCTTCCGTTTTTGGCCGTTTAGTGAAAACCATGTGAAACGACACAAACTTGGTTAGCCGTGGTTTTCAACTAAATGATGTGGTTTTTGAGTTGTTTTACTTGATTTCTTAGCAAAATGCCATAAAAAAATGTTTTCAATACTTGGTTTTTAGTTTGGAGAACTTACATTTTTGACATCGGCTAACGGCATGACTAAACCAGCCCAACAGCGATGTTGGTGCAACCAACGGCGCTGTCTGGCTTGGGTAGCTGAAAACCATGGTTTGGCATTAAGTCTTCCAACAGCGATGTTGCATATTAGACATCGCTGTTGAGCCAAGGTTGGGTTTCCAGAAACATCTGGAACAGCGATGTAGCCTTCCCTACAACGCTGTCCAACCTAAGCTAAAAATATAGTGCATTGGCAGAAAGTTTTTTGACAGCGATGTTGACCCAGAAACAGCGCTGTCAGGCCAAACTTTCCACCTTCAAAGTCAGACCTAAACAGCGATGTTCAAGTAATGAACATCGATGTAGGGACCTTACCGTTGGAAGGAATTTAAGGCTAAAACTTTCCTTGTTTGGAAACCAACAGCCAAAACAACGATGTAGGGGTATTGGACATTGCTGTTGGCATTACTGTTGCTTCCCAATTTTCAAAACACAAGCCTAGAACAGCGATGTCCAAGCCTAGGACAGCGCTGTCTCGGTGAATTTCAGCAGATCCAATTTCAATCAAATCCCACAAATCAAGCCAATCACCCCTTAAATGTTTTGACCCGTTGGAGCCTATTTTGGCACTATAAAATGGGGTGTTTGGGTCTGTTTTACATATCACATTACTTCACAACTCCTATTCGTTCATTGCATATTATTCATACATGATTCATAGCTTTTCGAGAGCCATTTTTGTGAAGTTCGTGTTGTGATCTTGAGCGTATTACTTTACTCATATTCACTCTTTTGAGAGAGCCTTGTTCTTGAGTGTTCTTAGTTTTTATAGACATTAAGGGAAGTTTGTATCCCTTGGTTGTACGAAGGAAAGGTACATTCCTTCGGGTTGAAGTCTTGGAGTGCGGTATCTCCGAGCAAGTGTTGTTGAGGCTCGTGGGACTCGAGTTCTCAGGTTGTAACGGTTTGTTAAGCACCCGTAAGCTTAACGGAAGTAGTGTAGCTCACAAGAGTCTCTCGGGAGGCTGGATTAGCCACAAGTTGTGGTGAACCGGGGTAAAATCGGTGTGCCTCTTACTCTTCCCTTTACTTCTCGTTTATTCATTTTTTATTCCTGCGATCTCTTGATCAAACACTATTCACCCCCCCCCCCTCTAGCGTTGGTCTATTATTCTAACAGTCTGGTCCTCCCGTCTTTGTACCTTTTCTTCCATTAATAAATTCCCAGTTTAAATATATATATAAACTGGGAAAAGAGATATCACAGCTAACAAGAAAAACCAGTTCCTCCATTCATAGAGATATCACAGCTAAGTATCTCATAAATATTCATTCTAATACCAGAAGCACACATCAAAAGAGAACAAACAACCAAGGTAAAGATTCTAGGAAGCAGCTATGTAAAAGTAACAGACAAAGCATTACTTTTAAAGGTCAACAAAAACCATCAAACATACGATGAATGCGCGAGTAATAGAAGATGAGAGGAAATATTTTAGTCTACCTCACGGTGACAATGTTATAAATTTTCAGAATCATCCGCACACATTCAGTAGCCAAGGAAATGGCACTTGTTCTCACCAAAAGAGGTTGCACAACGTTCTCCTCCAAAATGTTAGTGATCTGCCCCTTCCTTACATTAATTGCAGTGTTCCGTTCACCTTGTGCATGTCTGTTCCTCAATTCGGTCACAATAGTGATTGGGTTCAGTCCAGCATTCTCGGCTAGTGTGTACGGAATGACCTCAAGAGCATCAGCAAATGATTTCACACAGTAACCCTCCATACCCTGTAACACCTTTGCCCATGCACCCAACTGTCTTGAAAGCTCAATCTCTGGTGCCCCACCACCTGCAATCAAGAACCTCTTCTTTACCAAGCATCGAACGACACACAGGGCATCATGCAAACTCCTCTCGGCCTCATTAGTAACCAACTGATTGGAGCCTCTAACCAGAACAGATGCAGTCCTGCCCATATCCTGAATTCCAGTAATCTTCAAAATTTTCCCACCATCTCCAAGAGATACCTCCTCCACCAAATCTGCATGCCCTAGTTTCTCCGCCCTAAAATGCTCAATATTTGCAATGCGCAAGCAATTCAAAGTTTTTGTGATGAACTCAATCTCATCTCTTTCAACATCTTTAATCAGCATGATCTTTGCCTTGGAAAGATAATGTAGTGACAACTCTGTAACTGCATCCCTCAAAATACTCTTCTGAATCAACAAAACATTGCAACCAGTGGCCTTAATCTTCTTAATCATCCCCAAAATGTAGTTCCTCTCTTCCTTCAAAATCCTGTCCATCTGAGTGTAGTCTGAAATCACTATGCTCTGCTCAATATCTGTCTTAGGAGGGGAAATTTGAAATTGGATCACAGCAATTTTAGCTTTCTCAATTCGAGTCAGGCCACCTGAGGCATGACTCACTTTCTTACCAAACACTATACCCTTCACCATCTCAGTATCATCAACAGTACCACCCAATTTCTTCACAATCTTAATATCGTTTAAAGCCACAAGATCTGGTTTTTCAGAATCAACCACTGAAAGCACGGCATCAACGGCTAAAGGAGCTAAAAGAGTCGAATACTGAGACACTACCTTACTGTTTAGCGCGGTGCTGGCAGATTTAACAAAGGAATCTCTGTCGGAAAGCTCAACAGGAATAGCCATTGCGGTAAGGACCTCTACGCTCTTAAAGGATGTCTTATGGAGAGATTCCGACACAATAGTAGGGTGAATACTTGCTGAAATCAGAGAAAGGCATTCCTTCAGAAAAGCACCGGCAATGACGACGACGGTAGTGGTGCCATCTCCAGCGACGATGTCCTGAGATTTGGATAGCTCGACAAAGAACTTGGCGGCAGGCTGGAGGACATCCATCTTATTGAGGATGGTAGCCCCGTCGTTTGTGATGATGACTTCCCCATTG